GTTTTAGTTGCATTTATTTTTAACTTATTGTTACTTGTCCAGTTGTCTAACTTCTGTAAGACGTCATTAGCTTTATTAGAAAGAATAACATCTGATGATGAGGTGACAAATATACTCGTGTCATCTGCATAGATAATAAACTTAACTTCTGGGGAGATATGGACTATGTCATTAATATATAAAGTGAATAATAAAGGGCCAAGAATGCTCCCTTGTGGTACTCCTGAAATTATATTTTTCTTATCTGATACTAAATCATTTATCGAAACAAATTGACATCTATGCGCCAGATAGCTTTTAAGTAACATGAGTGGGAGCCCGCGAATGCCATAATGGTTCAATTTTTCAAATAAAATGCCGTGGTGAATGTAGTCAAATGCTTGTGTGAAATCCACAAAAATTCCGACCACTTTATTTTTTTTGTTCAAATTGTTGTAGAATATATTCTTTTTGATCCAGTAGGGCGAGTTCTGTAGACTTATGTTTTTGGAAGCCATATTGTGATTTTGTTAGGACATATTTGGTGCAAAAACAGGATAAGCGACTAAAAATAATTTTTTCGAAACCTTTAGAAAATACGGGGAGAATAGATATCGGTCGATAATTTGCAACGTTATGCTTGTTCCCCTTTTTGTAGAGAGCTATTACGCGTGCCGTTTGCATTTTCGAAGGAAAACCCCTGTCGAAATACAGAGATTGAATATGTGTGTTAGTGCTGGACTGATCTGATCGATAACATATTTCACTGGTTTTATTTGTATGCCATCAGCGTCGCAGCTGCGACTGTTTTTTAAGCCGAGAAATACTGTGCGGACTTCTGGTTCGATAGTACCTGCTAAGAAAAACGTGTTTGCAATTTCTGGACCCAGAGTTCGGCAAGTAGCGGTTGATCTGTCGCTAAAGTCTCTGTAAACGAAGTAATCATTAAAAACATTGACCATAGCCTCTCCACTGACCAAGTTTTGCGTCATGGAGTACCTCCTTAATTTCTTCTGTTTTCGGATTTCGGCCCATCAAAGAGTTTATTCTATTCCATAAAACATCTGCTCGTTTTGAACACACAGTAAATGCTTGTATATGATACAGCTCCTTTGATTTCTTCATTTCTTTACTTAAGGCATTTCGGAACTGCTTGAAAGCAATTAGGTCCGCCTCGTCGCGCGTACGTATGAATTTCCGGAATAATCTGTTTTTTCTGTCTATTTTACGTAAGATTTCACGTGTCATCCAAGGTTTCCGACAACCTTTACGTTTTTTCCGCTGTTTATAAGGGAAGTGTTTTTTGTATATACAAATAAACGATTCTAAAAAAGCGTCATAGGCTGAGTTTGCATCATTTGAGTAAAAAACATTGTCCCAATGCAAAGTGCCAATCTCTAAACGGAAAGCATCTAAAGCAGCTGGCGAGACATGCTGATAACTATAAGGAATGTCATTCTGAATTAACGTAGGTACAGCTGTTTTTACAGAACAACATATCGCCATGTGATCACTAATAGGATACGTAAGGACAGCACAGGTAACACACGACAGATCACAGTTTGTGATAAATAAGTGTATGGTGGTCTCCGAAGACAGACTAATTCTAGTGGATCTATTTATAATGTTTTCGCAACCGTTGCATGCAATAATAGTTTCAAAGTCACACTTTCTCGTGCTTTCATGCCCCATGTCAATATTGAAATCACCACCCAATATAACAGTGTATTGATGTTGATTTACAAATGTTAAGAAAACATCTAAAAATGCAAAAAAATCAGACAAGTCACCATCAGGTGGCCGGTAACACACAGCAACTATGACATCTTGAAACTGAACACATAACATTTCGTAATGAGCAGTAACTGAAGTAAACTTTTCGAGCAATACGGCTGGTAAAGAATTTTCAAGTAGCATAGTGACACCACCTCCTCGACGACTTGGCCGAAAAACAGAGAACGTTTTCATATGAGGTAGTTCAAATTCTTCTGAAATATCCGATTTCCAGGTTTCCGTTAGCATAACAACATCAAAACAACCTTTCATTTGATTAAACAGACACTCGAGTTCATTTACTTTGTTTCCCAATGATTGTACATTTAAATGGAAGCATCGGAGAAAACCTCTTTGTACGTTTCCAAACCGCTTCGCTAACTCACGAAGGGCGATATATCCGAGGTCATCCATTTTACAGAGCAGTAAAAACAAACAAAAAAAAGAGATACCAAGAAACAGCACAAAAAAAACTAACATCAATTGCTCAACGCTGACAAGTCATCCTCACACCTGATGACCTGCGCACGTTCTCCACTCTTCCTACGCACCAAGACCTTCCCATTGGAATGCCATGCAAAGTCATAGCCAACTCTCCTAGCCCAGGTTTTAGCTGCTAATAAAAGAGCCCGGGAACGCTTGGTCATATTCTCAGTTATGTAGACATTTTCTTGTTCCTGCCTCAAGGATTTTCTTTTTTCTAACCACATATTTCGAAGGTCCTGGTGGACAAAGCGAAGGATCACTCCACGCTCTCTACCTGGCCTCGATGCCATCCTGTGAATAGCGGAAATATCCGCCGGAGCAAGTTCCGTCAAACTCAAGGTTTTCGCAAGATCATTTACCTTGTTTAAAAGATTTTCACCTGCAGTCTCAGGAATTCCATGTATCTCCACATTTAGACGTCGGCTGCGCCACTCGAGGTCATCAAAATCAATCTGAAGCTGGGCGAGACCCTTAGCTGGATCCTCCTTCTCAAGTTTGTCGATCTTGCATTTTATGTTTTTATTTCCCTGTCATGCCCACTCAAGCGTTCTTGAATTTTATCAAAGTGATCCGACAGCAACTGAATTGACCTGTCTATTCGCTCTACCTTTTCATTCAAAGTGAGGAGAGAAGTTAATTTCTTGTCTATGTCCATGATCGTAATCTTAAGCTGAGCATCTCCTATTTGATCAGCGGGCCGTGTGGTACTCTTGGATGCCCCCGGCCTGCAGGCCTCACACTTCCATGCTCTTTTCTTAAACGACTTTTTCTTTTCAGCATACTCCTGTTCACTCATGCCTGAGCAGCCTTGGGTCAAGGCACCACAGGAAGTTTTCGAAGTCAGCGCCTGTAAAACACAGGAGAGGTTATCCAACGTGCTTTCCTCGCCGTCGCCGCTGCCAAAGTGCCAGATTGTCACGACGCGCGCGCTGCGCAGCTCATGTGCTTTCCGAGCCGGAGAAAGAGTCGTGCCTTCTGCTTTACATATAGGATGTAAACAAGAAAGGACAATTCGCCTAGCCAATATGACCGACTTCCGGCTTCATCGAGGGTTCACAACGAGTGATGTCAGGGCCTCTTCTACCTTACCTTCTTCTGTGGCGGCGCCCAAGCATTGCATGACGGAGGGGTCAGTAGATCCACTTCGTGTGTTCGATGCTGGAACGCGCCGTGGTTGGTTTTTTCGCCCCCTACAGGTGATCATTGGAACTTGAAAGATTCTGGGGCTTGGCAGCGTTCTCAGTCAGTGTTTGCGTGATAAAGAAGTACTGGCTTCTCTTATCCGCTCTCAGATGGCGGCACCATCTCAAAAAACGGAGAGGGCGGGTACAGAGCGAAGGAGTGTGATATATATTGCGCGTTCGAACAGCAGTTCGAAAGTGCGCCGATAGCTCACTTGCCTACACGCAGAGTTCTTTTCACCGTGGAAGTGAGAGGCTGTTGGATCGAATCAAATTACAAGATTTTTTAAAATGTGAATGCATTTCTTAGTGGGCCATGTCAGACATTCGGCGTTGTCCACGGCGTCCACGTCACTGCTCTCATTGCGTGCACTAACTCCCTCTCCCATAGCAACAGCTGCGAATGTGATCGCTTATTTTCGCTCGTAGCAACCAGAGCATGTGCTGTGAAAGAGTGAAGGAAATGGTACGTGCAGTGTCTCGCTACTTCGTTTCTTACCGTTCGCTCGCTCGCATCCCTTCTTCCCACTTTTCCGTACGCTCACGTCTCACTCTCAACCATTTGCTGGCTTGGCGCCTCTCAAGAACATAGGTGAATGTGTGCTTGAGATGACGCAGTGAAACGCCAGCGCCGAGCCGTAAATGCTGTTTGTTTTGTTCACTTCAGAGTAGACACTTTTTGTTGGGCATACGGGGAGGATACACACTATGTGACAATCACGTTGCGTACGCTGCAAGTGAAGCGTGCAATGACACATTTAGTTTAACGGACCTTGATGCGTTTTACTCATCTAGATAAGTCGTATTTGAGATACAACCCTTTGGAATGCTTATCAGCGCCACCCACGCTAGAAGTATTCTAGGTCCCAGTAATAACGTGGCCTCTGTGGTCTGCGCGAAAAACATCCTGACGGCCATGGTAAGGACCACCAGCATAAAAGTCAGGCCGTGGCGTTCACTGAGTAGATTTTTAGCAATGTTAATAGGTGCACTGAATGTTACGTTCACCTTTGTTGTTTTAAACTCGGCTGTGCAATGCGCCTGATTTGGCACGACCACACTGGATCAACTCCAGCGTTCTATCCAGCGCTGCTGCGGATGAGGCTTAGCGTACCCTGCAGCAAGTGGTCGCGTTCCAGGTATTCATGGCCTAACATTTACTACCGGCCCATTTATGGAGTGAAAGCTCGCACAACGTTGAAGGCGTGTTATGTTGCACCATGAGTACGTACCAAGCTTCAGTTTTATTTATGGATTCGTTCGCCAAGAGGCTTGGCAGAAAAATGCGAGTTCTCGCACACAATCTAATGAAGGCAATTCTTGAGAATTTTTGTGAAACGTCAGGCAATTTTCGCATTCCTGCTTTTCCGGCAACCCATTGTGCTCTGCACTTCTTCTACATTTCTCTCTTATATTGTGGATTGTGTATTTTTTGCAACACTGGCTGGCCGCCTGATGTGGGTTCGCCAGAAAGAGCCCTATCGTGAGTATAAATCAGAGTACCTGTTATTTTGATAAAATGCCATTCCAGCTATATTTTCTACCTCTTCGTTGCACTTGAATGTTTTACATTTCTTACAGGAGGCGTCCGAATACTCTCAGAAGTTGACAGCATTAATGCGGAGACGCAACGGCTGAAAAACGAAAGTGGTGTTCAGATATTTTTTCTAATTAGTCATGTCGGTTTTGACGTTGACCATATCATTGCAGAGCGTTGTCCCGATCTCGACCTCATTGTTGGAGGCCACACGAACACCTTTCTTTACACAGGTATGAATACATCTTCTCCTCTGTTGCAATTTACCACACCATATTCTCCATAAACTTGTGTGTCCTGTACACTCTAAGCCGAAAAAGACTAAAGTGGGGTATGCCATTGGTCCTTTAGGGGTCTAAATGCGCTGCCACAGATTTTGAACCAATTTTGGACTAACTGCGGGAGTAACTGCAAGGGCTCAACTGTTACCCCAAGCACTTACTCCACTTGGTTTAAATGTTGGCCCCAGTAGAATGATCCAGCGGGACTAACAGTTGAACCGTCTGGACCAATGGCAAAACAAATGGCGACACTGCGTTTGTGCAGTATATTTTATGTTTATTCCAATTTAATCAGCACTGAAGATCATAGTATGTTATTCATGGAACACACACACACACACACACACACACACATACATACGCACTATTATTTCTAAGTAAAACACCGCAAACACTGACTGCCCGCGCTGTACTGCAAAGAACAGACTCTCGGGTATATATAGCACAGTATTTTGACCTCCCATCTAGTGCCAGTGGGCGACTTTTACTCGGCTTAAAAAAACAATAAACATTGATACCGTAACGCGAAAATTTACATCGGCTAATTCGTAGCACCGATGCGCACCGATCTTTTAATATGGATCCATCTAATATTCAACATGCTTCCAGCCCGAGACTACGAATTATCAGCTGGTATTCGATCATGTCGGCCGAACCAGCGTTCGCAGTGCTGGCGCACGAGTCCGCAAACACAAACATAGCAGCGGCGCTTGTGCGGGAAAGCCGGCGAAGCAGCCGCAGGCGCCCCGCCGATGCCATACCGTGTCGGCTTGCCGACGGCGTCGCTAGGCTTACGACGAGTACGGCTAAACGACCGCCGGTGATCGCAACATGCGGCTCGCGTGAAATTTTCGTCGTCGTTATTTTATAGTCACAAATGAACAATAGGTAAGTGCCCCATGTTCGCTGTGTCTTACGGAGTGATGTAGATATTTGTATACTTACAGCGACGAGACCGTTCGCAGGCACGGTTCTTTCATCGTGCTGGCTGGTAAGGCACAACCTGTGTACCGCTGGCCGCACGATTAGTCGTATCCGCGATCGCCTACACGTTGGATTTTTGATAACGATTGTCGCATGGATAAAAAGACATAAGTTTGTCTGAGCTACTATTTTTGTGAACTTGTACGCGACGTTTCCTGCGCTTGTGCTGGCAATGCACTCACACCGGCAGCCCGATTGATACCGATGACGTACGAACTTGTGGTCACTGTGTGGGTACACGACCGCTGATGAACAGCTTACCTTTATTAGCATTGTCAGTGTTCACCGTAGTTCGAACTTATTCAGCACATTAAAGCGAGTTCTCGGCATTGCCCGTGTTTGCGGAGACTTTCACTTGGCTTCGGCTCGCCCGTGCCGGCATGGTAGAAACGCGAGGGCACTTGCTGTGTGCCTTGACAGCGTGTTGTACTACTTTCCTCTAATAACATCTTCTATTCTTTTCATAGTGCTTCACTTTCACAGTGGCGTATAGCCTATTTAACTTGTTTTCATGATCGCCGACCACGCCGAGCATTGCAGTGCAGCATCGACAGGAGGCGATCGCGGCGCAGTTGCCCTCCCCGTTGGTCCCTTCATTGCCGGGCGTTTGCGCAAGACACGCATTGTGACATACTTAGTCCCTGTTGGACGAACCGTTCGTCCATTGGTTTAACGACTGCAGTTAGTCCAACTTTGCCGAATTTCGGCTTAGAGTGTAGTATGCTTCAAAAGCACGCGCGAAGCTCAAAAGAGTACATGCGATAAGTGTGAGGAGCGATTCCTGCCGGAATGATTTCCGCACACCATATGCTACGTTGTAGGTTATTGCAGCAAATTTTTCATAATTTTAATGCCTGTTTTTTTGTAATTCACGTTGCTGCCTCTCATTGTTAAAGGAGGGTTATCACAAAAGACTACTCTGAAAGTGTGCATGTGTGGAATGTTTAAAACATGTTGTCAAGTCCATAATATGCGAGGACGACATCTATGTAAGGCGCGTGCTAATGTGCACACATATCGTTTTCTGCAAGCACTGTAGGCACTTGCGGGAGCAATGTCTTTGTGCTCTGTGAGGTTTCGTACATAAGCTTAGAATGAAAGCAAAATAGACGTCGCTTGTGTTAGTTGTTGTTCTTAGGGACATTCGCGAAATAAAAATAAGTGGATAAGAGCTGAGCGACTCAGTTGGCCGGCAAATCCAGCGGAGAAGTGGATGGGGCACCGGAGCGCAATGAGAATCAAAATTGGTTATGGATGAGAAGGAAGGAAGAAAAACAGGGATACTGAAAAAAACTCAAAAAGATTAGTAATAGTTGGGCAAATCCCCGTTTCTTTCAGTGGAGTAGGGCGCCTGGTCGAGCTCCTCCAGTGTAGCATGGAGACAATCCCTTTGTAAGCGCCATTTGTATTCTACACGTATCTAACTGAGCCCAGCGTGGTTCACGACCACCTCATGAAATTTCACAATTTTCGCGCGGTCGGATTACAGGCGTGTTACTAGAAGCATCTGTTTGTAGAATGCTGGCTCGTCCAAGAGATAGCTGGCAACTTCAACCGATGTACGGGCACGCTGCTTATGGAGAGTCTGCCTCAGCGAAATTTCGCACATCTTGGAGAACAGGCCCGACACCATGGTGATAGAAAAGCCTTGAAAAGATGCGAGATGCAAACCATTGAGTTCTTTTTCATTGTAGCGCAACAAAGAAATACATTTTTTGTTACTTTGTCTTTCGTCAGTTTCACCTTAAGTCCATTACCAGCAGGCCAAAACAGAACGTTGTTTTCTTTTTAAATGCTTACAATATGAGGCGAAAAACGTCCAACATATTCATCACGGTGGGACCAATTTCAATACGCGTCATTCTGATAAGTTCACGAAAGTGTAACGTACAAATATCAGCGTTAAAAATTATATGTCGTTTATGAAATGTATGTGCGAAACAGAGTATAATACCAATGCATGAAACTTGGAAAACGACGGAAGACTACTTTATAAAAATTGCTCAATTGTGGAATTTCATAACAGGCGCTACATAGTTGATAAGGCGTATTAAGTCAGTCTTTAAACAAACTTTGCTTCTACTCTCTGCAACAGCAGCTACGTTTATGGGTATCGAATTCCTCGTGCCTTGGAAACTATATTTGTAAGGTAATGCAATATTAAAAAAAAACTTTTGTTCAGCGTTGTGGGCGGCCGTCATTTTCCTAAGTGAACGAGCCAGATTCAGGCTTTTCTTTACTGCTACGAAACTTGCGCAACTATTTTGCCAGGAGAAACACACACTCAGAATGGTCTTTTCCACGTAGATAGCCTGCCAATGAGTGTAGGCATCGTTTTCGTTTAACGTTTAAACACGCACCATGAAATTTGCTGACCAGAACGGGAGGACAGATTCGGCTGCTGACCCGCAGGGCGCGGGTTCGAATCCCGGCTGCGGCGGCTGCATTTCCGATGGAGGCGGAAATGTAGGCCCGTGTGCTCAGATTTGGGTGCACGTTAAAGAACCCCAGGTGGTCTAAATTTCCGGAGCCCTCCACTACGGCGTCTCTCATAATCATATAGTGGTTTTGGGACGTTAAACCCCACATATCATCAACGGGAGGACAGATGTCGACCAAGGGACATCTGGTGTCGCGAACGTACAAACACCCCCCACCTCTAAACATGAAGAAAGAGGCAATGCGAGCTTCCGCGACTGTCTACTGGCGCGTGGAGGGCTCTTTCGGAGGCTAAGGACCAGCAGTTCCAATTTCGAGGAGCTCCTCTGAAGGTTGTTGCGACCGTGGTTAGCAGGCACTGGAGGTCCGGGATGAAGTTGTCGAGGCACGAGGAAGAGAGAATTGAAGAGGGTTTATTTATAATATGTACATAGTGTTACGAAGTGCGCCTCCAACGACGTTACGAAGGGCGCCACGAATCTCGCCGCTGCCACCACTGTTACGGAAGACGGCGACACCAACACGGTCCCGAAGGCGCAACTGCTTCGAACTCCTCTGGGAAGCTCACCAGCTGTTTGGTAGCGTAGGTTTCTCAGCTCGCGACTGCTTCTGCACAGAGCAGATAGACGGGCAGACGAGACGAAGGTGAGTTAAACAAGGATTGTGTACAGCATAAATATAGAGGCGTTACAAATTTGGCACTGGGGCGGACAGTTTAGAGACTCGAAGAGCCGAGCTCTCTTCTCTGAAACATAGGTCTATTGCTCGCGACGTGCCTCAGGGCTTTTTTTATGTGCACCGGGAGGATTCTTTGAGTAACCAAATGTCCAACCAGAAGCGCCGCTGGCATGAGGTCCACATTCTCCAATGGGGTCGCCGCTGGGCCTCGTTATTCTCATCGAATCCGCAGCCGCTGCGCGTGGTTGCAGCTAAGGACGAGTGACGTCGCCACGCATTGCGTAAGCGCCAGACAGGAAGGCGCCTATTGCTGCAACGCGCTAGCTGTGCGTGCGCGACAGAAAGGCGCCGCCGGTGATGACGCCGTTAAGTTGTTCGCGTCAGGCGGGCTCGCGTGCTGGCCTTGACACAGATTGCCTTTTTCCGAGGCATAGACGTTCGGTGTGAACTCGCAGGCATAACAGCACCCCCGCCGCCAGACAATGCGCCGGAAAGACAAGCTGCCTCCACGTGACTCGGATGTCAGGCGCGCTCGTTCGCCAGGTCCCGCCAGGTTCGCCTCCAGGGCCTTGGGAAAAATGCAGCTCCAGACTCTGTTCCGGGAACACATTCCATTCTTGAGGACGGACCCCAGCTTCACTGGCTTGTCACCACAACTTGTCGACCAGCTTCGCTCGTCTCTTCTGACGATCTTTGGTCTCAGCACTTGTCGATGGTTCTGCAACTTGTCAAGAACGGTTCGACAACAGACAACACATGACTTAAGCAAGCTCCCTCGGTCACCCGATAAAACACCAGAAAAAGTATATTACAACATATACCTAGCTACGTGTCTATCGGAATTTCGTTCC